ATTGTATTATGAAGATTTTCATTAGGTATGCATTTTGATTTTTAACCGACTTCACAAAAAGGAGGTGGTTATCGATAAATTGTTTTGTTTTTGTTTTTGTTTTTTAAACGTTGCCCTACTAGGATTTTCTCCTGTGTCGTAGGTGCGTTTACAAACATACAATTTCACATACACAAGACACCCAGACCCGAAACAATAATTTGTGGATCACACAAAGAGTTGTTCGGTGCGGGAATCGAACCCGCGACACGTTGCGCGGCAGCTAGCTGCCCAGCCACCGCGCCAGCTGTGCAGTCATTTCACTTTGATTGGATTTTTTATAAATGTAGGTATATAAATTTTTATCTAATGATAAATAAGGATGAACTATAATTAGGTACTGAATTAGAGTAATTCTGATTTAATTATTTCCTGTCATCCGCGTTTTGAGTAAATAATGAGAACATTTTCTTAAAACATAGAATAGTCGACATTCCATACTTAATGCACAATGTATAAGTATTTATAAATGTAAATGCGTATAAAATATATTAAGTACTTACGCCAATTAATTAGTTAACCTCTAAAATCGCTCAAATAGTTCAAAAATTATAAGGTAATGAAACAAAAACAAATAAATAAGTTATGGCTTATTTTTTATCTAAAAAAATACACATATTTACAAAAAGATATATTAGGAAACAATCAACAAAACTATAACAAGTATCACCAACGTTGTCTCAGTGCTTGACTTCGAAGCCGTAGCTCTTGCCTCCGTGCTGTGCACCTTTAGCGCCGAAATGTGCTCCGTGATGGTGGTGGGACTCTCCAGCTCCCTCTGAGGAATGCTCTGCGCTATGCTCATCTCCGGACTCCTTGGTAACAAATCCTCCCTTTCCGTAACCCTGCTCGTCATGCCCTGAATCATGAGATCCTCCCTTCTTGTATCCTCCGGCCTCTGATCCATGGCTGGCGTGTTCGTCTGCATACTTGTGCTGGTCGCCTTTGACACCTTCTGCATCATAAAAGTCATGGTCCTTCTTGAATTCGTTTTTGTCGAAGACCTTGTGAAATCCATCGACCGCTTCTCCTTTGCTGTGACCAGCTTTGTGCCCGTGGTCTCCTCCTTTGTATCCATGCCCGTGAGCGTAATGCTTTCCGTGAGCGTCGGCTTCATCATAGTGGTTCTTGTTTCCTCCCTCTTTAGATACTGCAAACCCATCGTGCTCCTCTGAGTGGTAATTCCCTGCATCCCCTTTTTCAAAATGATGTTGTTTCCCAAACCCTTCATGCCCTTTTTCACCATAACCATGGTATCCTTTCAAACCATAATCCTTTCCACCTCCGTACCCATGGTAAATACCGTGGTCAAAATGTCCTAATCCATGTATATAATCCGAAAAGTCGTTATTGTATCCCGATCCATATTTTTTCGCGTAATCCTCGAAGATTTTATCGTAGTTCTCGGCCGCTATTCCATCAATCTGATCGTCGTGTTCGTCTACATTCTCTTCAACAGGTTTGACATGTTCTTCTGTAGCATCTGATGCAGCTTTGTCTTCATCTTCCTCTTTTGCATAAAATGGGCCCGCAGCGACAGGAATTGGCGCTTTATATGCCTCGGGCTTGGTATACAATTTAGAAAAATGTTCAATCACTTCACTCTCACCCATTTTAACTACGCTTGCGGGACCGTCACTTTCTTTTTTGTAAATGTAGCCAGTAGCTGCCGGCTGAAGGTCAGAGCCCGTGGTTCGAACCATGACCATTCTCTCCACAGTCTCCCGCATCTCCATACAGGAGCCGTAAGCAAAAAGTAACAATAGCGTGGCGATCTTTCGCGCCATACTTTCAGCAATAAAGTCCACTATAATAATGACGACAAAGGTCAAGTGTAGCATTTATATAGTGAACATAATACTGTATCGATCATTGACATTCATAAATGGGCCGACTTGAGAGCGCTCTCTAGATTGGGCAATGGTCTTCTGTGTCAATGATAATGAAAAACCCTGTATTAATTTGTACGGTGCATTGCTGCGCGTTCGTTCAGACGTAGAGTATAAAAAAGATATTGTATCGGCCACTGCACACTTCGACGTCTGACAACGATGGAACGTGACGTTCCTACACTACACTTAGAGAAACAGGACTTCTATCATTGAAACAAATTAACAGGTCCCTTTGAATAAACACTCGCGAACAACTCCTCCACATGGCGACTATGTAAACTGACTATTTTTACTTACTCAGCTCTAATATCAAGCCAATGAAACTATAAACGTCAGTTTATAAAAACGAAAATCATATTTATTATAACACTTTTAACTACATTAAATTGAACAGCAGGCAAGTATAAAATAAAAAACATAACATAGTAACTACCTACTCATAAAACAAATTGCGGTTTGCCTGCGAATTAATTCACACTGCATTGTATAAAGAAACACATCGGTAATATTCACAGATAAATGTATAATATAATCAATGCTTTCTGTAACTAGCGAAATATTTAAGCTTTGAACGAAGTTTCGGGAGGTTGCCACTCTTTTTAGATTTTTGTTGAGATGTAACTTCAAAGTCGTCATCGAAAGTAAGACGTTTGTCCTTTGTATTGAAGTTACTACTGCTGTTGTCTTCCATGGACCTCGGTAACATAAAACCTTCTTGCTGATCCAGTGTTTCAGGGTTCATTCTATAAAACAGCGCGTACGGCGTTTCTTTTGGTTCCATAGCAGCGCTATCTTCATGGCTCCCAATCCTCGCTATATCCATATTATTTCTATGTGAGTTGCCCATGCTTTTATCTTTTCCGATGTATTTTCTCATATTGTCTGATACAACGCTACGTTTACTTTTCTCGAACACATCAAAACCTTGCTTTTTCATGGCGTCCCTCTTTCTATATTCACCTTTCTTATGTCGCCTGTCAGCAATTTTTTGTGTCATATCGTCAAGAACTCGTGACATTACTTGCTTGTTATGATCATGAACTGCATTCGTCTTGTGTAGAGTTTTGTCCATCATTATGGATGTTGGCATCCTCTGACGATTGTCTTGTTGAGCTTGTTGCGTATGAACCGCTAGGGAGGTCATCTGACGATTATTGTTCATTCTAACATTTGTTTGGGAATCAGTCATCTGTGTCTTTCTGAGATTCATTTGAACAAAACTGGGTTTAGCTTCGAACACGTTATCTTGATTTCTTTGGTTGCCTTGCTTCAACTGACTGCTATAATCAGCGTTGACGGCTTTTGGTCTAATTGGAGAGATTTGTTGATTAGCTGCAGGCTGTACGTGTGGAGCTACTTCCTGGGGCTTAGCAGCACCATAATCACCTCGGACGACAGGATTATGAGGACTCTGCGAAACTTGCTGTTCTATTTGTGCAGGTTTTGCAGGATTTGCTACCTGTTGGTTCTGTGTTCTTTGTTTCCACTGATTTGGCGACTCTGTGGCTTTGTGATCCTCTACTTTTCTATGCACGCCATTCTTACTGGCATCGTGGGTTAGGCTCCTTGGGGCATCGACCGTGGACTGCATTGCGTACTTAGGTGGGGACTTCATAACTTTAAAATGGGAGTCTACCACATGCTCATTATTCATCTTCTGGTACTTTGAGCTGTAAGATCCAGTGTACTGTCTCTTTCCATGGCCACTGAATCCAGTTTTCACATAGGCACCAATACTGTTGTCTAAGGCGACGAAGCCGATATTCGGGTTATCGTCATAAATGTAGTACATTAAAACAGGAGATACCGAGTTAAAATAAAGAAATGCGCTAATTATCTTGAACAGTATCTTCATCTTGTTCGTTCGATACTAACTGCCGATGGCTACTGCATTGTTCTTATAAATTTTTGCTCTCATATTACGCCTGTTTACTTATGAGTAAACAGTTGTAAACAAATATAGTCATTTGCTTGATTCACGACGACGTATTCAATAACATCATTATTGCAGGGTTAACAGAATTATTTTTTATTGATTCTGTAAATAAAAAAATTAATTAAAGTAATGAAACATGCTTATAAAATTAAAAAAAAGTTGAATGTTTGCACACATTTTGTATTACAAATCAGCTTTCCACATTTTTAGTACCTACTAACTTGGTACCTGTCTTCAATGGCTGTTGGAGTAAAAGTTCGCAATTCGATTTTCATTTCACGTACTCAAATAACACATACACATCTGATACGTTGAGAAAGTAAAGCGCTCCTTACGACGACCACTTTGTTTCAATACCTACGAAATAAAAAAAATCGAAATAAGAAAATCCATAACATGATTTGATTTTTAAGTCCACAGTCATTTTGTTTTCTGAATCACAGGATGATCCTGTGTCGACTAGTTAGCGAGACTTCAAACTTGAAATTGGCAAATCCGTAAGATCAAGTGATCAGCCCACTAGATGTATCTTTCTGAACAATGAAACATGCATACTTAACTATCTCACTTTCACAATGGTTAAATTGAAGAATGATGTGTAAAAAACTGCCAGTGTTGTAAAATATTATGAGAACAGCTACAGAACTGATTCTCACTGACATTCTGCCATCAAAGATACATCACAGATAGATGAAACCCAAACATTAGCACAGGAAATGATCTTAAATTGCGTTGCTTTGTCAGAATTGAATGCTCTGCATCAAACACAACAACTCAAGCGACATGCAGTGCACAGCTAGTAACATATCCCGAAGAGGATAAGACGTTAAGTAAGAACTTTATTTACTTCCATAGTGATTACCGAGTGCCAACTACAATAATAATAGAAAATTAAAACTAGGCTAATTGTGGATTCAACAAAAAAATATCAATTCATTCACAAATGGTAGAACCCTATCATTCATTAAAACAATAATACAATCATTCATTGTTATCAAAATAAAATCTATTAGTCAGCCTATTTTTCTCATCATACATTGTTCATCTATGTAAACATAATTTAAAAACATTGGGTAGTTTACATTATGCATTGATTCAGGATCATGTCGCTAGTCGACACTCCGACGGCCAGACGTTAAACACATTACAATGAAAATTATATTGCTCGTCCTGTTAAGTTCCAGCCTTATTTTAACCATCAACGCTCGGCTGATTGAAAAAATAACCGATCGAACATTGACGACCGAAACGAAAACGACAGGATCTTCTCCGCCGGTACGACTCACGAGGGAGGTGTTCGATGAGGACTCGCTCATTGGGTTCTCCAGGGAAGACAATTTGCAGAGCGATGAGTATACGCGGACTTACAACAGAAGGGCTAGGCACTTCTTCAAAGCCAAGCCCAACACAGGTGCACCACCGTCTGCCATCCGAGTACCAAGAGAGTCACATGAAAAGGTAGAAAAAGTTACAAACAAAAATACTACTACCAGCTCAACTCATCCTGCTCAAATAAAAACAAAGAACACCCTCGTGAAGAAACCCATACCAAAATACAACGAAATGGACTACGATGACGACTTCCAGATGAAGATAAGCCGATCGCCGGTGCGAGTAGTAGATTCTGGCGAACACGAAGATGAAGATTTTAATCTCGACGACTATGATTTTGATGTAAATCATGATGAATTTGTTGGTAGAGGTAAACCACTGGAACCAAGGACAAAATCGAAGGAAACTAATGAACGTTCACAACAAACATCTGTTAAACAAGAAAGTAAACCAGCACCAGCTCCTCGTGAACTTAAAACACCAACTAATAACAAAGTCCATGCGCCTGCATCACATCGGCCCGTTTCAAACAAAAAGGAACGAGCAGTTGACAGTGTACCCAAGAATGTAGTCGAAAAAGATGATTACTACGATGATTCCACTTCTACTAAAGCACCTGAGAAGGAGAAGGCACGTGATATGGACGACGAATTTAATGAAGAAAATGAAGAAAGCAAAGAATTCGATGGCAAATCTGTTAGAATGATCAGATCACCATGGAAAGTTAATGCTTATGTTGATAATTTGGGAGATAAAACGTCTTCGGTAATGAGTAAAGTACTCAGCATTTTACCAATGTTCCCTCAAATTCCAAATAAAAATAATGGTGAAGCAAGTCGTCTAAGGATGGACTCCTAGTCTGCCTGCCTTTTTTCGAAATAAGTTAACTTATTTTCAGTTATTAGGTTATTTTTTTTACTTGCCTATTGTGAATATTTTATTTAAAATTTGTCTTAAATTACTTAGTACATTATAATTTATTAATTCAGGGGATCGAATTGACTAGTTATATATTAATTATAATTGTGAAATCGTTATGAGTATGAATAATATTGATTTATTGTTCGTATTTCGTAGTTTTGAGTGATGTGATATGTACCTAATAAAATACAAAATCAGGACGATATAGATTTTTTTTATTTTCAAAACAAATGAAACTAACATCTTTCTGTATTTTATAAAATTTATTAAGTCACCACTTAATCTATTGTATGTTTAATTTATAACTACATTTAATATTAGATTATATATTTAACAGTTTGCATTGTAAATCAACATTATAAAATATAGTTTATTACACCGTTTTCTTTCATATTCATTCCTTTCATTCATAACCTACAATCATACTAAACACTTAGTCCAAATTGATATTTCCAAGTCTAATTTTTTAATCTTAAATAAATAGTGTGCTTTGTTATAGTTTGCCATAATGCTATGTACCAATGAATTCCCTTTTTATACAAAGTAAATGAAATAGAAGGCATTTACAGTGCCTCTACTTCGAAAATGGCTCATAACAATATTGATCTATAAAAACGATAAAAGTAATACTTAAAATATAAAAACCTTTAACCTTAAAATAAACTTTAACAAAACCTATAACCCCAACGAATAGTCCAATCGTCATTGTCCCCGGCTACCCCAGTGTCCGAGTTTAGCCGACACTTACAGAATGCTGTCACTAGAACACTTGCACGCGTTCATTTCGGAACCTAGCTACCACTGTACCGAACACTTCACTTAATAGTCACGGTAACAGAATGTCTATCTTGGTTTTTCGCTATGGTTCTTCGTTTTCTGCCAAAATGTCGCTCAGACGCTTCTCGTCTAGTCATATTCTGTAATGGTCTGCATAATCTGCGTCATTGCTCTGGGCCGCCTGTTTCGCGACGTCAATGTACTTATCAAACTTGCTATCTGACGTATTTGATATGTCATGTCCATTGTAACTATTGTTGAATGTAGCGTTATTTGCTTTGCCTGCGTTGCTTGCAGTGTGTGATCGATTCCCTGTAGCTGCCGCGGCTTGAGATCGCAGATAGGCTTCAGATCCACCAACATGTGCGTTTGAACTAGCTTTATCCACCCCTCGCGTACTGCTATTGTTATTATCATAAAATTCTTTGTCTTCCATATATTCATCTTTATGATAAATCCTGCGAAAACCTTTCTTATTTTCACCTTTGTCCTTATTAGTTTCATGAATATAATTTGAATTTCTCTTGTGGTTCTCCGATCCGAATTTTTGCGCAAAACTGTCAAGAAAATCCTTAAAACCATTGTATTCTGTTGCTTGATTTGCAAACGCAGCTTTATTTTGATCATTTGTAGTTACGCCATTTTTTCGTGTATCGAACTCATGATTTCTGTTATGGTTTTGTTCAGTTACTGATTCTGCTAGCGAGACTGTGTTAGAAAGGTCATAGTGTGATGGCACTGGACTAACCGTTGTAAAATAACTGTTATCTATTCGACGACTCCTTCTAGCTTCTTCAACGTCAGGTAAATAAGTATCGTGATCAAAGTCTCGACCAAAATCTAAACCTTTGAATATAACAGGGTCCTCGACATTATTTTTTTCAAAATAATCATTGAGTATAAATGAAAAGAATGGTTCATCTCCTACTATTGGGTTGTCTGTCACTTGGTGATAGTATCTCGGTGTCAGTTCGTATGTTTGTGGTGGGATATCGTTTTCAATAATTTCCTGCACAGGAATTATACTGTCAAATCCATCCATAACGTAACGTTTGTCTTTCGCTTTTTCTGAATTACGTACGTCCTTTGGGGGTTCATATTCATACGGGTTTTGATAAAAATATGGCCAATTATCATACAAACTTCGGGAACTGCTCCGGACATCATCATCATCCATACTATATTCACTGCTGGAATAATCTGTCACGGTGTCCCTTGAAATCTCCGTAGGTGGGTGATATTGCATAATTGACTTCAGTTTCTCAAGTGTGTCGTCCGACAATTGTTTTGAAGCACTATATTTAGAATCGGCTGTAGCTTTTGCTATCTCATAGTCAATTTTATGTTGAATAGTTGAAGGTGTTGTTTGAGGTGGGATGAAGTCTTCGTATACTGTCGGCGATTCGTTTCTCATTTTCTCTAAAGTTCTCGTATCATATTGTGCCTTTACAATGCGTGGGTCGTACGGTGGCAGTCCGATGGCAGAGTACGTCCGTGGTTTATCGTACAGCTTGTAAGTATATTCACCATGTAGCGTCGGCATATTTGGTCTTAATTTCCTATAGACGTGTTCGGAATATGTATCGCGTTGAACTGTGTGTTCGCCGTAGATCACACGCGACACGAGACACACTATTATTGCTAGTCGCACCATAGTAGCTACATCTACGTGTTTTCAGACGCTCTCTAAGCAATTAACTGGAAGTGCTAGTTTCTAATCGCGTCTATATGAGTTGTTTATTTTCTCAGCGGTCAACAACATTGTTCTGGGGACAATAGATCGGGGCAGGTCAGACAGCCATTGAGAAATAAATAAATCCGGTGTACACAATTATAATGGGTGACTAACCAACCTTAGTGTAAACTTCATTCACCTAGTTTAGTGTTTTGGCTGCGTGACCGCAATAATATTGGTGAAGGTGTCTGCTTATGCTCATTCATTCCCGTATCTAAGTTAAGTAGATACACCACGTTTTCCCAGTCGGTAATACAGCGCTTCAATAATTACTAAGGATCGAAATCAATTTCATAAATCGAATAATAAAATTTGTATTAAATTACTCTACACTACTCACCCGTAAAATATTGGTAGATATTAAAGAAGTCTTTTGCATTATTCCAAGTTCATTTCTGTGACAAAAATACTTTTATTTTAATTTAAATGTTTGCACTCAATTTGTCTTGCTTCTTCCGTGTTCGTCTAAATCAAACAAAACGCATTGACTTTGATTTGTTCCCATTCGTGTTATTCTTGAATATAAACTATATCACGTTACTCATAACAATATCTATAATTCTAACTTAAACACTCACATTTAAGACAACTACATATAACAATCGGGATTAGCACACGCCTTATTTCAATTACAAAATAAAACATTGCAATGGGTTCATATATTTAAAAAATTTAAGTCATTCAGTTCGTTTAAAAGAGAGTTGTCCAATTAATCAGTGAACATTGTTAAGGGAATTTTAGTTTTATAAAATTATGGAGGTCGCTGGAACTCGGTGGCCCAAAGGCGTCTGCTTGAGTCAAGTCAAGCATGAGGTTGATGAAGAACTAAGGATGTAAAGGGGTAACAGGTGCGAAATATGGGTAAAGATACGCGTAAGTGAATTAAGTGCTAAATATTAATTAAATTTACTAAGACGAATTGGTGTTCCGTAGTCGCTGCCTACCCCTATGGGAGATAGGCGTGAAGTTACCTTTGACGATGACGGAGCACACATGAACATACAGCAGACCACTACTAGAGTTTGGGCCCTGGGCCTCCTTTATACCTCTATAAAAGGGTTTAATTAGTTCTAGTCTACGGTCACCCAAACATCACATCTACAGCCTATAAATGCCCACTGCTGAGCAAAGCCTCTTCTCACACGGAAAATGTTTAAGCATTAATCACCACGCTTGCTCAATGCGGGTTGGCGATTTCAAACTTATAATTAGAAATTATAAGCCCAGGTTTCCTCACGATGTTTTACTTCGCCGTTCGTCAGTGGCGTCTGAATTATCTTAGAAAGTAGGTACATATAACTCGAAAAAGTTACATTGGTACTTACCGTTGGTAGGTTTCGAACCCGCATCCTCATGCATGAGAAGCGACATGCACGAGATACAACGTAATAACATAACATAACATCACGCCTTTTATCCCCGAAGGGGTAGGCACAGGTGCACACAGAAGTAACACCCACTTTTCACTATTTATGTTATGAGTCCCATGTAATAGGGGGTGAGCCTATTGCCATATACCGGGCACATTTCCAGACTCCGTGCTACTACTGAGGATTTTTTAAAAACCCAGTAATACTTTGCCCGACCCGGGAATCGAACCCCTTGCCGGCAGTCGCACTTGCGACCACTCGGCCAACGAGGCAGTCAAATAAATTAAATACTCTATGTACCTACCTCTGTGGCCTATTGTTTCGTTGGTCTCGTAGTCGCGGGCGCAATGTTATACACATCGACCCTTTGTCAGCAGGAACAATGTTAGTATTGGATATTTTCTTTACGGGATCTGGAACTTTGATGTGTAATCTTGGCTACCCTTTAAAATATAAAAAAAGAAACGATTTTACCTTTTAAAGTTACAATGTTTTTTTTACATATTTGATGGGCCGACGTTTGATCTCGCTTGGTATTACGCAATGATACGGTCTACGATGGAGCACGTCGTCCCATAAGCAACCTATTCACTAGAATCTTGAAGACCCCCAACTACTTACTTAATTACTTCGTTATTCGTTCGTAACCAGAAATACATCAATTTATAAAAAAAATCTTAACAATTCCCACCTGCATTCGTAAAAGTTTTATTATCTATGTTCAATATGTACTCTATTCTAATTTTTCCCGCCAAGAGGGTTGTTCCTTGCACAGAACATACTTTATATTATGTTCTGTGGTTCCTTGTTTATTTAGAGGTATATTCCCAGTCTTGAAGTGCTCCGAAATATTGTACAATATAAAAACAGGTTGCAAATTATAAAGTTTTTACTATTTCATGCACCAGTATTATTAATTTCTCTATTGATATAAGTTATGCAAAACTTATTACATTTCTCATTTCTGTGCATACTAAATTCAATTAACACTTTCGCAAACCAAAAAATTACATTCAATTTTTTTCCTTTTTTTAAACATTGCCTTACACTAGGATTTTGTCCTGTGTCGTGAGTCCGTTTACAACAGACCCGGAAAACAATAATTTGTGGATCACACAAAGAGTTGCTCCGTGCGGGAATCGAACCCGCGATACGTTACGTGGCACTATTTTTTTTACACTGAGGAGATAAGTAAATTCAACTGGTACCTACTAAAAATACATATCCACATGAACTTTGACGGCACTGGTTTGCGGAGTAAATGGGCAACCGGCTGATGAAAGAATTGTTATTGCACGTACCTATTAGATTACCTCAACACCCACTTTTCGGCAGGCATCTTGAAGAGTTCTAACTCCTATGTAGAAGGAGAAGCTATGGCCATACAGTGACACCATTATAACATTTAAGACCATGCTGCTAATTATCGAACCCCTAAAAATTACATAAAGGCCAGAGGGTAGAACCCTATTGTCCGGCAGTTCCAGCAGTCCCGAGTCGGGCACTCGGGCAAAGTATTAATGGGGTTTCTATAAATTCTCAGTAGTAAGTAGCACGGAGTTTGGAATTGTGCCCGGTCCGGTAGGTATATGGCAATCGACTCACCCTCTATTACATGGCACTCATAAAATAAATAGTGAAAAGTGGGAGTCAAATTGTATATACAGTGGCATTAAGTGCCGTAATGTGTACGTCTGTCTACCCCTTCGGGGATAAAATGCGTAATATTAAATTCGACCCGAGACGCCTTAATGGTTTATGGGCGAAAAATAAAAATACTCTGTGAATTTAAATTCTCTGGATCGGTTGAAGTTTTTTGCCTTAACATGTTTTAATAACTTTTGTCAAAAATCGTTCCTAATTCAAAGATTATGGATTGCAATTGGTTATTAATTTCAGTCGTAAAATCGGAAGTCGCACTTACTACCCAAACAAACGAACAGCTTATGCAATACCTACCGTGGAAGCTTGTAAAAAGTAAAAAGGCAAGTTTCCATAAAAATTTAATTACCTATGTATAAAAAAGGTCTAGTTAAATGAGGTACGTATTGCCAATTGGTCACACTCCGTTTGCTACAAACAACTGACGTGACCTTGTATCCGCGGTCGCTGCGACAATCGTAGTCGATTAGTCGCATGGAGCGCGTAGCCTATGTCTGTTGCAATCCCATTGTCTGAGTATCCAGTGTGAGAGGAAGTAGACTATAGGTAGGTAGGTAGGTATCTACTTCTAGTTCATTTCTGAAGTCGCTAGTCGAGGCGAAAGACTGTTCAGGTGAGCATAAATTCATGTGTCAACCAGTCTCTATTGGTTTCTCCAGCTAATTTTTTCTCATTTTATGTAGGATCTGTCGACGTTAATTTGGGTACTTGCCAACTAGTCAAATTCAATACTTTTTTCGAACTGTCAGAAACGAACACGAGTTTAAACTGTCAAACACCGCGAGGACACCGGTGACCGCAACCTATTGTTCTATGAATTTTGTACGAGATTGTGTAGGTATTGTGACGTCACGTTTTTTTAGCGTCAAACAGCGTACTTATTTCTTAAAAATTTGCTGGAAAAATACTAAACTTAAGTTAATCGTAAAATAAATTAATGAAAGTGTGATTATTTTTTAATATTTTATTGTATTGAACAGTCGAAATAAAATATTTTTGATTAAGGAAAGTACCCAATTTAGATATCCTCTTGTCATAATTCCCATAACGTATTTCACAGACATGTGAAATCTAAAACTAAGAAGCTCCTATGATTTAACTCTATCTTACTATTGAAATATTATTTTAAAGGGTGACTGAGAAATAAAACAACAAATTAGTCAAACAATTTAATATTATTTGTATAAGTATCAATTTTAGAATAACTTTCATTGTTACAAAAATAATTTTCTATACTTTTATTTTGTACAGATCAAAGCCTCCGATTGTTTTCGTTTATTTTCGGTTACGGGTAAAGTAAGGTCTCTGATATTGTCCGTTTTAATTCGAACATGCGGGCAATATCAAAAAATAATCTTACTTTACTTACACGTCGTTCATAAGTTAAATATTGCTAATCATAAATTCCATCTAGCATATTAATTTGTAATTTAGTCTAACTTAGTTTAAAAATAGCCGTGCCTTCACTGTATCACGCACATTGATCGTATGGGCTTGAGCGCACATTTTTTATTTATGTAATATCCATCCCATTGCACTAAAAAAAAATTTCGGAATTTCAATGAATAAAGTTATAAGTGTACTGCTGATCTTTTGCAGAGCGGGGCGTTGGGCTCCGGTTACACCACTGCGAGCTTATTTTATCTATCAAAATTTCACTACGCAGCGTTATGCTTTGTTCGCACTATGCTAATATTTTAGTCGACTAAGGGACGAGGGATATACTAAACACTCGCTGCTCAAGCAGCTCCCTCGTCCCCTCTGACTTCTGCCCCAAAATCGAAGCGAGAGAGAGTAACTAACTAACTACTTGACTAAAATACTAGCATAATGCGAACAAGGCATTACTGCGGCGCTGACGCTGCGAATTCATTTACCCATGCACTGACAACGCACGACGCATACGTTTATCAAACGCCTACGCAGTACTGGGAAACGCCAGTGTGCAGGCGCTCTTTATACTTAACACATTAAACGCCATGGTCACCAGTACCTTCAACAGTTTTCCTTTGACAGTCAAAAACCTTAAAACTGCGTTTGACTCATTGCTTTACTCAAAAACCCTTTTGCTGACAAGCCCATACCATTATGTCATTCTATGCCATCATCACTGCGAATTAAGTAAACCTATTATCAACTTCATCATCATAATACCAGACGATCGGAACAAAAGGTTTCGTTAACAAACCACATTACTTCTTTCCTAATTGTTTTGACTCAGAATTTTTTATCTTAATTGACGTCATTATAGCTTTATTTATTGTAAAGTTCATCATCAAACTGAAGAGCCACTATCTTATTTATACATTTTCTATGGAAAAGAAATGGGAAAAGAAAAAAAGCATATATACGGTCGAATTGATAACCTCCTCCTTTTTTTGAAGTCGGTTAAAAACGTACTTCAAATGATCGCCAAGGAAATTCATTTTAAATGTACCAAATCTGGAAAACATCGTGAGCAAAACCTGGACTTATCAATACATAGTATAAAACAAAGTCGCTTTTGCTGTATGTCCGTATGTATGCTTAGAGCTTTAAAACTACGCAACGGATTTTGATGCGTTTTTTTTTAATAGATAGAGTGATTCTTAAGGAAGGTTTATATGTATAAAACATGCATATTGCACCCGTGCGAAGCCGGGGCGGGTCGCTAGTAATTTCTAATTATAAGTTTGAAATCGCCAACCGGCATTGAGCAAGCGTGGAGATTGATGCTTAAACCTTCTCCGTGTGAGAAGAGGCAGTGGTCAGCAGTGGCCACTTATAATAGGCTGTTGATGTGTACCTAATCTTGATCTCCAAAAGATACGCTAACAAGACAATGGTATGACTATTAAACCAACGAGAATGGGGCTATTAAGTTTGATGAGATCTATACAATCATCAAGAAACTACAATCACTTCTTCTATTTAAATAGAGGTATAATCTTATTATGAGCCAGTTTCACAAGACCCTTGTAATTTTTTGATAGAATCCAAATCTGCTTCCACTTAGATTTTATCCATAGAACATGTTGTTTTTAATATTAACTATCGTGACACATCCCAAATTAACTAAAAATCGCGGGTTATTCACGTGAAAATACCGAGATTCAGATAGAGAGATCAGTAGGCTGCGCGACATCGCCACGACCGCGCACTCTGCTCATGAGGAAGAACCCCTCTGTGGTTCGAAACTAGTAGAGTTTTTCTCAGTTTTTTCACTTAAGTAACCTGCGAGTTTTAGTTAATGCCAGCGTTATTTTTTTAATTGACAGATAATTTCTTTAAAATCTTGTTGCATTTTTAAACTCTTAAATAAATAGGGTTTGTGAAACCAGCCATTGAAACAAGCATGAACCCTCAAACAAATATGTACAAAAGGAAAAACAAAACAAACAAAAAAAAAGTTGTCATAATGATAAATAATATTTATTTATTTATTGTAGTGTTACATTATTGTGTATATGGACGGCTTGATGTATGACTTCAGATATGTACATAATTATTGCATATTTACTACATTATAGATATTATTTAGAACATTCACATGATTCTATATCAAAACTAATTACGTATTCTGGTTGACGCGACAGTTTTAAGGAGTAACTTATAAGTGTATATTGAGTAATTCAATTAGTCAATTGTTAAAAAAAATGTGTTAAGCATTAAAATATAACGTCATACTTTATACCATGTCGATATCGAAACTGATATTAAACAAAACTACGTCAATGAAACTTCAGTAAACTGTTTTGGTCTCTGTATTTCATTCTCAAATTAATATTGTGTGATATAGACAGTGAATATTGACGGTGTAAGCAAAACTGAGTCTAATCATTACGGACATAAAGTCACATATTGTAGAAATATCATTACTATGACCATGTGGTCACTAATAAATATTTAGTTAATGTCGGCGTTATTTATTAATTAATTAAAAGATAAATTCACAAAAATCCTGTTGTATTTTTAATCTGTTAAATAAATAGGGTTTGTGAAACAAGCCATTGAAATTAGCATGAACCCTCAAATCAATATGTACAAAAGGAAAAAAAAACAAAATAAAAAAATGTCATAATGATAAATAGCAATGATATGTCTACAATATGCATAGCAAAAATACCAATTTCTGCTATGCAATCTAAATATTGTTTGTATGTATTTGAGTTCACGATCATAAATGCTAGTTGGAAGGTAGTTTTGCTATGTTCAACGCCTGTTTGTGTAGAATGAGCTATGAGTCATATGGCAAAGGGCTAGTCGACCGAGAATTGACGCTAACATTTTGTCAAAATGTTCATTAACACGTTAACTGCCGCGTAGGTTACCGGTGACTTACATTAGAGGAGGATTTGCCTTCAACAGTTTTCTGTCGGCAGTCAAAGGCTTCAATTCTATTCTCGTGTTTATATTAAAACTGGTCATGACTCATACTAAATAAATTATTATGTTTTCGGCTTACTCACATAATGATTTGACGAGGAACTCGACTAGTTTCAAGCCATGAGGCTTATATCATGAACAGCATTCCGCGACTCACAACGCTACTACTACTAGTACTAGTCGAGTTCCTCGACAAACAATTACGTTAAGTCGATAACATAATAATCAAATTCTATTTGTAATAAGCGCCTCAATGACATTTGGTTCATTGCATTGAGCTATAAAATGCAAGACGCAGCAAAATTCATTAACTTAACTGCGTCAAAAATCTTGAATAATTATAATCAGATCTTTGGTAAAGACTCTGGTAACAAAACATTAAATTTTTGTGTTAATAGTGTTGTAATATATCGATAATTGAAATCGATTTAATATTTGTTACGGTTTAAAATTCGTGTTATGTGTAGTTTTCAGTGTTGATGTATAAACAAAAACGTAATATATTGCAGTGCAAGTTAGCATGTGGTAAGAATAATAAATAGCCAAAATATTTAAAAAATGAAGTCTAATTTATTTTGAAAAATAAATTTTATTTTATTAAAAATAAAAAATTTGGATGATAGAATTTTATTATATTCCTTTCTTAACTCTCTCTCAGCTTTACACTAGCTGCCGACTTATTTCGAAATTACAATACAAAATATCAAAACTCATCAGAGTTGTTAATACCACAAAAACAATATTTTAGTAATATTTCAAGGCAATGAGTATACTTTACTCCCATCCTTAATCCTCGCCGTCGGAAGTATGTTTCCACCTTTAAAACCATAGACAGCGTCCATTTTAACATTTTCTATATTCAAACATTTCCATTTTCTATCTCACACTGGGCCTTAAGACTTAACCTCACTTTTTACTCAAGTACTAGTTAAAACCAGTACAAACCAGTATTAGGTATAAAACAAAAAAAAAGAGTAGGTTTCATTAGATAAAGTACATTTGCTAACTATGTCTAGAAGTAATAAACAAGAGTTAAACATATGATAAATATAAAAAATATAGAAGAAATTCCATTGTTTATGCATTTTGTGTAAAGTGAGATAGTAAGTAATACCTATGTACTATGTATATAGTAATACTTAAGTTATGAAGTCGTGTAATAAGGCCCAAACCAATTCATTCTAAAACTACCTTCCATAGATTCAATAACGCTATAACATTTTACAACTATATCATAAGACGCAACATTAAAACTATTATTCTGCTATCAATTATCCTAATTTCGTCTAATAAATTAACGCAAAGAGGTTTTGAAGTCCAAACATTACATACAACCAGACTAGACAACGAAGGCACTAACTCGCAACGAATTAAAAATATATTAATTTTATCTTTTGAATACCAAATATCACATGAAAGCAAAAAAGTTCGAATACACACATCCTTAAAAGTAAGATATTTTTTTTTAAACACCCCGTAGTTTCAATATGGCGGATTAAAACAAGTGTGCACCATATTTGACATTGACATTAACACAAATTACTTTGTTCTATGAATCTTGATACTTGCTAAATAATTTGGCATTCATAAGATTTTCAATTTAAAATTATTATTTCAATAACAAAATTAAGTATTAAGTATTAAGCAACATGCATCAACCATGCATTCTCACGTTTCGCTCAAAAAGACACAACGAAGATCGTTTGGACAGACTTTAAAAATATTCATCTACCATCTATAAATAAAAAATAAAGTAAAACTAAAATAAAAAACAGTCAGCTAAATAAATACTAGTATTTGGTTCGTATGAATACTATGGATGTAAATATACATATAACTTAGATAAAATATTATGCAGCACAGGTTAATAAGTCACCAAGACAAACGTCACCGCGAATGGACAAACATCTAATTTCGTCTAAACATTAAGTATGAAAACAAGATCACAAACAAACGAAAAATAGGACTAAGATATTTGTGACATGAGATTTATAAGAAATGTCATATTTTTTAAACCAAATCGTGTGAAGAAAAACAATATAAATACACGATAAGGCGATTCACTAAAAAGTCTACAATGGTGCAAGTCAAGTGAGTTAAAAACGAAAATTTAAAGCTCTAAGCATAACTTACTTAAAGGACCAAAACCTCTTAGGCGCCGTATAATCTAATATTTCGCATAGAAAAATATCTATAGACGTATTTATTATATCTATGACGTAAACTTTAGTAAAACGAACATGTTCTTTGAGAGCTCGATCGTGACGCCATCGCGGTTGGAATCTGAAAGCGAAATGTTTTATATGGGTAATAAATAGCAAAAAAAACATTGACATAAAAGAAAATATAGATATTACATAGATAAAAAAAAACTTTACTTTTCTTATTAAAAAAAAATAATAATTTTATGCCTCAGATAGGCAAAGGTGTACATTATGGCACTTAAAGCCACTGTACAATGTAACAAAAATTTACTATCAAAATTTAAATTATTGTACCTATATTATTAAGATTAGTCAAACATTGGCTACTAAGACATTTTAGTACTAAAAAAGTATTAAAAACAAAAAAAAATGCATAAAATATCAAAATTATTGATAAAAGTATTATAAATAAAAAATCAGAGGATGAAAAAATTATTTCAAATTACAAAAAGAATCTCTCCGGCGGGGAATCGAACCCCGGTCTCCCGCGTGACAGGCGGGGATACTTACCACTATACTACCGAAGATGTGAGAGAAGTGGCGAAATATGCGACTACATATTTCCTAAGTTAATTTTCAAATTTTTTTTTCATTTAATTTAATATAATCTAATTTAATTTCTTCGATATTCATTTCATAATGGTAATGACATAAAAAGTTACTTTTGCTTTTCATTTCAGTTTTTCAAAGTATACTGTTGCTTTTTATAATTGCTAGGGTCATAATCATTATCTCGCCTGATGGTAAGCGATGATGTGGCCAACTGTTATAATGGAGCAGTTTTAAATTGAATTAAATACTTCAAACATGAATAAAAAAAATACATTATAAAATGGTTAACCAATGTATAGGAAAAACAACAGCGTTTTAAAGTACCAAGGCGAGTAAGTAGTTGTTTAGCAAAAATAGAAAAAAAAATGTAAATTGCAAATATTTCAATAATTACTAAAAAAAATATCGAAAATAACAATCAAATGATTAAAATACTGCAATAAAATACTACAAAAAGAATCTCTCCGGCGGGGAATCGAACCCCGGTCTCCCGCGTGACAGGCGGGGATACTTACCACTATACTACCGAAGATGTGAGAGACGTGGCGAAATTAAGGTTCTAGTTTTAGCACCCATTGAAATCGTATTATACATTATACACTATTCACATAAATTTTTTTCTACATAATTATTTTACTTATCGAACTAATAACAATTAATTATTGCTTTTCTTTACATTTTCACAATGCATTATTACGTTCTGTTTCTGCACAAGGCGATGTATATTTTAGTACTTGTAACATTGAATTTAATCCTTTTAGAGATAGGTTGTATTTCACATTATTTTGAGTGACAAAACAAAGGGCTGACACCCAACGCAACTTGCGACGTTACTTTCTTTGCAAAATGAACTTAGTCTTTAAAGAAATAAGGTTTATTTTACATTGTTTTGTGTGCTAAGGGTATGAAGTTGGTGGGTAGGTACAGTAATAGTATGAGTCTGCACTGTTACCTCACGTGTCGACGGACTGGTTGGCGAGTGAGCCGTCCCACGCCGCCTCTTTGTGTAGAGCCGCTTGGCGTTTCTTTTCTGAAAGGATTTAGACAAATAACATTGGACTGTATTCCCATATACATATTTATATACATATATCATTATACATATATCCCGGGGATATTGAAAGGAGAGTGAAAGCGGGAAATAGTGTTAATGGTGCTTTACACTCTGTCATGTCAAGTAAAATAATATCCAGCAAAGCTCGACTTGCTGTAATGCAGTGTGTATTGACACCAACGCTTGTGTATGGTAGTGAATCATGGGTGTGGCAGAAGAAGCTTGAAAGCAGGATTAATGCGGTGGAAATGAGAGCCCTAAGAAGTATGTGTGGACTAAAATTGAGTGATCGAGTGAAAAATAGTGTTATTAGAGAAAGGTGTGGATTGAAAGATGATGTAGTGACAAGGATTGAAAAGGGAATGTTACGCTGGTTTGGACATGTAGTAAGGATGGATGAAAGTAGAGTAACGAAAGAAGTATACAGAGCGGATATGAATGGGGCCGTCGGTAGAGGGCGCCCTAGACGGACATATATAGTGACCAGATTGGCGATATATTAAAGAAGGGCCAAATTAAAAGTACCCTTAACCGACGAGCATGCATGAAAAGATTGATGACTGTTAATGAAGCGAAAGAGGTATGTAAGAATCGTAGTAATTGGCGTTCCTTAGTTTCTGCCTACCCCATGGGAGACAGGCGTGAAGTTATGTATGTATGTATGTATGTATTTCCATATGTAGAAGTAACAATTTAATACAACACCTTTCCATTAATCATCCAAATATTTTATTTATCAGAACATCACCAACAACATAACTGATGATTTATAAGTAATTTCAATATTTTTGTCTCAATACAGGAAAGCCCTTACAGAAATGTCTAGCTACAAGTACTTCTAGATGTAAAAACACACATTTCCAGTATGTAATACAATTGGAGTTGGAGTTAAGCTCTGCAGAAATGATAATGGGACCAGCCAAAGTGATACACACACCAGCCATGTCATAAAGCTACTTTATTTATTTAT